AGTGGTAGGTGTAGTAGTAGTAGAAGTAGTAGTAGTAGAAATTTAGTAGTATTGTAGAAGTGTAGTAGTAGTAGTAGTAGAGTAGTTGTATTAGTAGTGTAGTAGTAGTAGTAGTAGAAAGTAGTAGTAAAAGTGGAAGTAGAATAGTAGAAGTGTAGTAGTAGTAGTAGTGTGTTAGTAGTAGAAGTAGAGTAGTAGAGTAGTAGTAGAAGTAGTAGTGAGTGAGTAGAAGTTTTAGTAGGTAGTAGTAGTAGTAGTAGAGTGGTAGTAGAAAAAATAGTAGTAGTTGTAGAAGAGGTAGTAGTAGTAGTAGTAGAAGTAGTAGTAGTAGTAGAGTGTAGTATAGTAGTTTGTAGTAGTAGTAGAGTGGTAGTAGAAGGGGTTTAGTGGGTAGTAGTATAAGTAGTAGTATTTGTAGTAGTAGTAGTAGAAGGAAGTGGTAGTAGTAGTAGTAGTAGAAAAGTAGTAAGTGTAGTAGTAGCGTAGAAAGTGTAGTAGTAGTAGTAGTAGTTGTAGTAGTAGTAGTAGAAGTGGTATTTGAGTGTAGAATTTGGAGAATAGTAGAGAGTAGTAGTAGTAGTTGTAGATTTAGTAGAAGTAGTAGTAGTAGAATGGTTTAAGATTGTAGAAGTAGTAGTTGTAGTAGTAGAAGTGGTAGTAGTAGTAGTGTAGTAAGTAGTAGAGTGGTAGTAGAGTAGTAGTAGAGCAGTAGTAGTAGTATAGTAGTAGTGATTTGTAGTAGTAGTAGTGAAGTGGTAGTAGTAGTTGTATTTAGTAGAAGCGGTATAGTAGTAGTTAGGTAGTAGTAGAGAAGTGGTAGATGTAGTAGAGATTGGGGTAAGTAGAAGGTTAGTATGTAGTAGTAGAAGTGTAGTAGAGTGAGTAGTGAGTAGTAGTAGTAGAAGTGGTAGTAGTAGTATAGTTGTGTAGTAGAAGTGGTAGTAGTAGTAGTAGTTTTAGTAGAAGTAGTGAAATAGTGTAGTAGAAAGTAGTAAGTAGTAGTAGAAGTGGTAGAGTATTTAGTTGAAAGTAGTAGTAGTAGTGAGTAGTAGTAGAATGAGTATTTGTAGTAGAAGTGTAGTAGTAGTAGTAGAGTGGTAGTAGTAGTATTTGTAGTAGAATTTGGTGTAGTAGTAGTATGTAGTAGAGTGGGTAGCATGTGAGTAGAGAGTTAGTAAAGTAGTAGATTTGTAGTAGTAGTTGTAGAAGTGATGTAGTAGTATTTAGTAGAAGTGGTGTAGTAGTGTAGCGAGTAGTGTAGAAGTTGAGTAGTAAAGTTAGTAGTAGAAGTTAGTGTAGTAGTAGTATTTGTAGTAGAAGTGGTAGTAGAAGTATTTAGTTGGTGTAGTAGTAGTAGTAGTGTAGAAGTAGAAGTGGTAGTAGTTAGTATTTAGAGAATGGTAGTAGAGAAGTAGTAGTAAAGAAAGTAGAAGTAGTAGTAGAAGTAGTGAAAGAAGGGTATTTGAGTAGTAGTAGTAGTAGTAGAGTTAGTAGTAGTAGTAGTAGTAGAAGTGTTAAAAGTAGTATTTAGTAGAAGTAGTAGAAGTAGTTAGAAGTAGTAGTAAAAGGTAGTGTAGTAAAGTGTAGTAGTGTAGTAGTAGATGTTGTAGTAGTAGAATTTAGAGTAGTAGTAGTAGTAGTAGTAGTAGAAGTAGTAGAAGTAGTTGTAAGTAGTAAAAGTAAGTAGTATTTGTAGTAGTGTAGAAGTAGAGATGTTAGTAGTTGTAGTAGTAGAAGTATTTAGGTAGTGTAGAAGTAGTAGATTAGTGTAGAAGTTGTAGAGTAGTAGTATATGTAGTTGTAATTTGTAGAGAGTAGTAGGTAGTAGTAGTAGTAGTTGTAGTAGAAGTAGTATTTAGTAGTAGTAGAAGTAGTAGTAGAGTAGTTGTAGTAGAAGAGTAGGTATTTAAAGAGTAGAAGTAGTAATGTAGAAGTAGTAGTAAGTAGAGTAGAAGTAGTAGTAAAGTGTAGAGTAGGTATTTAGAAAGTAGTAGAGTAGTAGAAGTAGTTGTAGTAGTAGAAAATTGTAGAAGTAGTTATTTGTAGAAGTAGTAGTAGTATTTAGATTAGTAGTGGTAGTAGTAGTAGTGTGATGTAAGAGTAGAAGTAGTTTGTAGTAGTAGTAAAAGTAGAGTAGTTTTAGTAGTAGAAAGAATTTAGAGTAGTAGTAGTGTAGTAGAAGGAAGTAGTAAGTATTTAATTGTAGTAGAAGTTGTAGATATAAATTGTTATGTGTAGTAGTAGTAGTAGAAAAGTATTTAGTAGTAGTGTAGTAGTAGAAGTAGTTGTAGTAGTAGTAGTAGTTAGAAGTAGTAGTAGTAGTATTTGTAGAAGTAGTAGTAGTAGCAGTAGAAGTAGTAGTTGAATAGTAGTAGAAAGGTAGAGTAGAAGGTAGAGTAGAAGTAGTAGAATTGTAGTATAAAGTTGTAGTAGTAGATAGTAGTAGTAGTGTGTAGTAGAGTAGAAAGTAGTAGTAGTAGTAGAAGTAGTGTAGTAGTTG